TCTTTAGCAAGGAATCCCTGGGAATGGGATCTTGAAAGGCTTTGTGGCTCCATCCCCAGCAGAACAATCTCTGAAGCTTTTCCCTGCCCAGCTCCGGCGATGTCTCCCCAAGACACATAACTTGTCTTCACTGTGTTCTCTTTTCAACAGAAATCTATAATTTAAATCAAGAGAAGAGGCTCAGAATCAACTCCTCTATGAATTTGTTCCTCCAGACGACCTGCTGCAGAACACAAACTGAATGATGAAATGATGACTACTTCCTGATGCCCTCAGAACTGTTGGCTTTGCTGCCCCACGGGGTGGATCTGGAGCTCTAAGGGGGACACTCAGCATGATTTTTCTGTTGATTTTCCTGCCTTTTGTGCATTCTCCTTGGAGCCCTTCCAATGATGGGAGACCAATATTCTGTGCCCTTTAGGTGAGAAAAATAGGGGCTGGAATTCAAACCTATAGAGCATTTCCAAGTGTTTTCTCTGCTATCAGGATATACTGCAAGTGCCATTTCCTAGATACATTTAGAAGCTAAGTCCAGGCCTTGTGCTTAGCTGAACTGCTGTTTGAGGAAAGATGGCTGAGAAGTTTTTGCTCAAATTATAATAATAAAAATCAGTGTGTTTTGCTAATTATGACATAGCAAGAGGCTAATTATCTTCCCCAGCCCGTAAGTCTGCTGCACCCACAAGAGAGACACTTCCCTTTGGCTCCATGTTCAGAGAAGCTGTTGGGAGGTACATTTTACCGGAGAAAACTGGAATCCACTGCCAGGGCTGAAAGGCTTTGTGCCTGCAGGCCTATGTCTGCAGGCCTGTGTCTGCAGGCCTCAGGTGGGAGTTTTCCAGCTCCAGCAGTGACAAGGATTGGGGGTGGAACCCTCTTTGTGTTGCACTATGTGCTGATAGGGGCTGCTTGCAGCCTTCTCAGCCCTTTCCTCCTCGAACCTTGGCATGAAAATGAAGCTGACCGAGGCACAGTCCTTTTAAATGTTTGCCTGACTTCACTAATCCCTTTTATTCTGCTCCCACTGGGATCCAGCACAATGGTTGTTCTGCTCATGGTACTCTCTGCCCAGCCCAGGATCTGCTGGCCAGTACCAATCCCTGGGGTCACAAGCTGGACTCCCTTAGTCTGACCTGCCCCAAGCAACGTGGCAAAACTAAAAACAAAAGCTTTGTGTTTCCAAAAGTGTAGGAGGCCAAGATTTTTTAGTTTCCCTTCCTGCCTGGAGCAGCATTGTTCTCCTTGGAGGAGTTACATGCAATTGCCTTTAGCAACATAGTGTTAATATTTTATCTTACCACTTCTATTGTTACCAGGACCCAGAGCAGGGTGGAAACTGCTTTTGAGGGTGTTTATTGGTGAATGGAAACAGAAAAAAGCCCAGCTCCATTCATTTTTAGGGCTTGTTTACGCAGGAACCATGACAAGAATATATCCCAGTATAGGCATTCCATTCCAGAATAAAGGCAAGTTTATTCCAGAAAAATGTCCACATGGGGACAGACCAGGAGGTATCCCAGAGGTTGGGCATGTGTAGTTTCCAGTCTTTTTTGTTTGGGACCAGACATTTGCAGAATGTAGTTGACATGATAAAGGTCTGGGTCTTGAAGTTCCCAGAAATTTCAGAACTGCTTTGTTGGCAAGTTTTTTCATGGCTGCTCCGAGCTCTCCTCACGGGATCTTGGCATGACTGCTGCTCTGGGTGCCCACTGCTGCCCTGCTGAGGGGCTTGCCACGTGTCCTGGGTATGCAGCGGGGGGGGGAGATCTGTCCTCCCTGTGTCTACACAGCACAGTGGAAGCACTGGTGGCTGCATTCCTGCCTGGCAGGTAAATAAAGACCTTCAAACTAAATTCCATCTCCTGTAAGCAGCTGGCCTGGCTAGACACTGGTTATTGTGTACACACATAGGGCTGAGTCAATATTTATCCCCTGGGTAAATAACAGACCTACTGTGAGCTGCAACAGGATTTTTTTTTCCCTTTTCTAAATCTCAAAGCTGCACAATACAAACCCTGCTCTTTGCTGGTTCAGGCTTGAGCTGTTTGGTGCTGTGAGTGTGGGAGAATGAGACAGTCACCCTGATAATGTCTGTGATTGGCTTCCCCTAAAGGTGGGGCCTATGCTCTGGATTTTTCAGTCTCCTGTCCTCAGTCACTTTCTGGCTGGACTTTCCTGCTCTCATCCATTGTGCATCTTTGTATATCCATTGAGAGATATTTGAAATAATTTTCCATTGCTTGGTCCTCTCATAGGTCCTTGGGCAGTAAGACCTTGGGGATGAGGAGGTGAAGGTGGGGAGTTTCAGCCAAGTATTAAACCTGACTTTCTTCACTTTCCTCAGGCTCTGGTACATGCAATGCCCTAATTCCAGATTCAGACACCTCCTTGTTTCTGCCAGGTAAATAATTTCAGCTGGTGGTGCCAGCCCATCAATCATAGCCCTGTCTGAGGGATCTGTGTGTGCCTGTGCACTCACCTGCTAGAGGCAGAGGAGTCTTGCTTCTGTTTTGCAATTCAAAGTAAAGCCAGAGAGACCTGGGCCCTCAGAAGGCAAAGGCAGAGCAGCCTTAGAGCCAGACAGAGCAGTTCAGTGTGTGGGAGGTGATGGGACAGGATTTCTGGATCCTGACTTCATCTCCAGTGCTTCTCCCCACCTTTGGCACTTTCAGGGCAAGCACATCTGCTCTTGGCAGCCTCTGCCTCCCCCGACTCTTGCCACACCAAACCAGTTCCTTTCTGTACTGAAAAAAAAAAGTCATTTTATTTAAGGAATTGCATAAAGGAACCTGCACTTACAGCATTGTGGTTGCCTTTCCCCTCTTCACAGGAGTAAAGGAGCAGGTCTCTGCTCTCTTCTTCTCCACCCTAGTTCATGGTCCCTCTGGCCAGAGCTTTCCCCTGTCCCACATTTGCTGTTCATGTTTCTTGTCATCATCATTAATTCTTATCTAGGAAAAAATAATTCTAGATTATTTTTTCTCCATTCTTCAACATCTTACTTGGAATACAGACAATCTTTAGGCCTGGGGCCCTGAGAACCACTGGACACAGCACAGCTGTATCAGACTCCAAGCTGTTCACAGGCTTTGGTCCAGTTCTCCCTCTGGAGCTAATAAGTCACACTCCTGTCCCTGAGAGCACAAGGACATCCCAGCACTGAGAACTCAGGCCCCCGCTTTGTGCACATCAGCCAGTCATAGTTTGGAGTGAAGGATTGATTTTGTTTCTTTTTTTCACCAAGAAAAAGACCAACTGGGTGCTGGAAAGCCAAAGCCAGCAAGGCCAGCAGGTTGTTTCTGCCTCAAAAACAAATTTGCCTCCCTCTGTCAGAGAGATGTTTCTCCTTTCCTTTCCCTGATGGTCCCTCACTGCAAAAGGAGAAAAGTGCCAGTGGGTTTGTAAGACACAGAAAAAGCTTCTTCCATTGAGTTACTGAATAGCTGCAGCAGTGCTAGTTATCAGTGACTGATGCTTCCAGTCCTTTCAAGGAGATTAATATTTATATATTTGTAACTGTACATTATGCAGAGTAATCATTACCATGGTATTTATTTTAAAGCAATGGTTCCCTTGTTCTTTCTTGTCCTAGTGTTTTGGTCTTGCCTCTTTTCCTCCTTCCTAATAAGCCTCAGTAGAAAACAAATACCAGAAGAATGTTCAGCTTGCTTGGAGAACATCATTAACATACCAGCACTTGCTTTACTGACTGTTGCCATTTAATGCACAATAACCTGGTTTTCATTATTGTGAATAGAGCAACTATTTGGAAAAACCTCAGCTTGGGTTGGGTTTGTGTTTTTTTTCAATACCTGCTGAGTCCCCACAGCCCTGGATGCCCCAGGGCTCCTGGTCAGCACCTGGTGCATCCCCTGCACCCGGAGACTGGCTCTAGTCTTTCGCCTGCCCTTTGCCGCTCCCCCACCCCCCCCAGGTACATACGAGCAGTTCTCTGACCATTTTTGTTTTGTTCACACAAATCTTAGCAAGTCTGAGTCCAGAAAAGTGTTTGTTTTAGATTCTGATAAATATTTTATTAAAAACTTATTTTAAGACACTCTTGTCTGCCTCTTTTTATTCACGCTGTCAAGTCTGTACCAGGAAAACCAAAAAAACCAGGGACTTTAAGGAGGGTTATTGTTCATTTTCTACCTTGCTTCTTACTGGGCCTATGCCCCAGTTGTGTCTGAGAGATGAGCCTGTTGTAGTTTGATAAATACGGTGAATTTGCAACAGATTCCAATAAGCAACAAACCTGAGCATCTCTTTCAACTTTTGGTTGTGGGTGACATTACACAAAAGAAGTATGGAGTCCTAGAGCGAGAGTTTGCTCAATTCCGACTTTAATATTGCCCTTCAAGAGACATAATTTTTTAAAAAAATCCATTAATACAATCTCTGCCCCAAAGAAATGATGGATGTCAAGGGTCATTTGCAAAAACAGGGATGAGTGAATGGGATTTCTGCACTTGTTACCAACAATGAGCTGACATTACTGTGGGGTTGCTTATGAATCAAGCCAAGAATGTCTTTCCTAGAAAAGCCAGTGCTCTACATTCTCTTGACTGTTTCAGTCCAGGAGAGTATCTTTTGAAACTTTTGAATCTTTTGAAATATAGAAATTTGGTTTTGCCATGCCTGGTCTTTTTCAGTTTTAGGTGAAGGGAATATGTGTTAAGGAGCAGGAGCAGAGCTAGAAGGCAGAGAGCAATCAGCTGGCAGGGTCAGAAGAAGCAGCCCCGGGTGTATCAGCAAGAATATCCCTGGTGATACCTGACCAGGTGAGAAGCATCAGTGTCCCAGTAGTTGATGTGTGAGTTCAGCACTAAGCATCTCACACCACAAAGAATCCCACAGACCAGGTTTATTCACTCTTTGCTGTGCAGACATGAAAAAGGACTTGGCTCCTGGATGAAACTTGTGGAATTCCAGTGTTGTCTTCATCTTTATCCCCACTGTGTGTTGGGAGTGCCCTGGGAGCGGAAGCGGGGTTGGGGGCTTTACACCAGGGAGCGTTTGGAACGGGGGAGTGTTTCCTTGGAGAACTTGGAGGTCTTCAGGAAAGTGCTGTTTTGCTTGCTGCTCCTGAAGAACCTTTTCCTGACCTTATCCCTGAAGTCTTCTGACACATAGTAGTAGACAAAGGGGTCAGCACAGCTATTGCACGTGCTGATGGCCAGGCTCACCATGTAGCTGATGTAGAGCTTCCCGTACAGCCTGGAGCAGTAGCTGGAGTAGTGACCCAAGAGCAGAACGTTGCTGGGAGTGTAGAAGGCCACGAGGGTGAACACCACGAGCGCCGTGAGCTTCATGGGGTAGGAGTAGCGCTTCCCCCCGTGCAGGAGGACGCGCAGCACGGAGCAGTAGCTGAACAGCACCACTAGCAGCGGCAGCAGGAAGGCGCAGGCGATCAGGCACACGAAGTAGTAGAAATAATACCCGTCATCCTCATGCCTGGGCAGTACGTCGTGGCAGAGGGTGAGGTCTGCCCCGAGCAGGGGGTAGGACTGCTGCTGCAGGGCCAGGGGCAGGGTGAGCACAGCCGAGCAGAACCAGACAGTGACACAGGTCCAGGCGGCGAAGGCAGGGGTGCGGAAGGCACGGGAAGAGAAGGGATGGACCACAGCCAGGTAGCGGTCCACGCTGATGCAGGTGAGCAGCAGCACCGAGCAGTACATGTTCCCGTAGAACAGAGCCGTGGTGAGCCGGCACAGCCCTTCCCCGAAGGGCCAGTCATTCCCCAGGAAATAGTAGGAAATCTTGAAGGGCAGCACCAACACGAGCAGCAGGTCTGCAGCAGCCAGGTTCATCAGGAACACGGTGGAGGTGAGCCTCTCTGCCCTGGTGGCCAGGACGCACAGGGCTAGCCCGTTGGAGGGTAGCCCCACCAGGAACACGAGGGTGTAGAGGGCAGGGATGAGGCGCACAGTGAGGGCACTGCCCAACTGGGAGCGTGTGGCCTCGGGGATCAGCAGGTATGTGATGTTGTTCACGGTAGCCTTGTCCCCAGGGATGGCTCGGGGACACGGGGTGGTCTCTAGCGTCTTGTCCTGGTCATTGGTGCTGTTCTGAGAGTAATCTGAGAGACAAGGCAGCCTGTTATTCACTCATCCCCAGTGCTCACCCCAAAGGCTGCTCTTTGCCATTTCTGTTGGGACCCCTGGAACTGGCAGTACTCTGGAAAGACTGGTGTGTGGTGGGCAGAAAAACTTGGCTGACAGACAGAGTCACCTCAGCAACCTCTCGGAGAATGGACCCAATTCCTTTGCCATGTGGTTTCCCACAGCTCACAAGTGACTGTGGTGCTGTACAACCATCAGCAGGCCTGGGAGACCAGAGAGCAACTCCTCTGTCTGGATCCATTCCAGTGTAAAGTCATTACTGTGGGAGTCTAAATTTGGCTTTCAAGTGCTCTGTTTTACTGCTCTGTTTTTTCTTTCTAGTTTCTTCCACTCCAGCTTCCTTCTCTGCCATATCACCTCTGTCACCTCCTATCACCTCCTGCTTCAGCTAGAGCCTGCACAAAGCTCAATCAGAGTATGCTGCCATGTAAACTCATTAAAAAATGAGTTTTCAGGGATCTTATAAAGGTACCAAACACCAAGTACTTCAACAAACAGCAATTTTTCACCCAGAGACACACACTCACCATCATAGTCCTGAGAGGCCACACGGAGTCCCCAGAAGGCACAGCACAGTAGGAGCCTGTGAGACATCCACCCATTCCCAAGGTTCCCCATCCTGGTGCAGGATCCAGTGCCCCAATGCAGTGTCAGAGCTGTATGGGAATTGCAGCACCAGTGACCCTGCTTACGCATTTCCTTTGGTTAGTCCTTAACTCACGGAAGCAAGAGGCAGATCCCAGAATGATGAGGCTTTGGGGGCTGTCAGAGCCTGCGCTGCCCAAGCAGACACAAGCCCAGTGTCAGAGGGGCACTGGGAGGGGCATAAGAATCTAGATCTGAAGTGTACCAGGGTTGTACTTCATCATCAGAGCTCAATGATGCCTCGAGTGACTCACTTGGGTCTCCTTCCTGCTCCGGGATATTCTTGGAAAGCATCCTTCCCCCACAGAGACCCAAGTGGCTCTGGGGGAGATCCAGATCTTTTTCCACGTGCTAGTTCACAGTGTTCTCTAGTCTTACAAACAGGAAGATATCAGAGCTGAGGATCAGGCAGACCTCCCCAGCTCCCAGGGATTATATGGGGGTCTTGCAGACTCGTGGTCTGGCAGTTGAAGGTTTTTAGTGCCAGCCTTGCAGCCTCTAGACCAGGCTCGGCCCTTCAGAGGTCTGCTCCTTTATTTCTGCTCCTGCTCCCTGACTAAACAGGGGATGAAGCTCCTGCACCTTCTCAATTTTACTGCAGAGGATGATTAAAAGTCTTCTGAGTTGGAGCTATTTGTACTTGAAAGAACCAGCAGGAGAACCATGCCATACCAAAGGCAAGTGGCAAAGTGAGGGAGACACTTGTGCTTCCTCTGATAAACCTGAACAGGGAGAGCAGCTCCATCCAGCAGGAAAGGGGCCTGAGAAGGGCTCAGGAAATCGCTGCAGTTGGGTAGATAATGGTGAGTTCCAGTCACTCTTGCCCCAGAAAAGCATGTTTCCCAAAGCTGTGTAGTTCCACCCTGGAGTACTGAGCTCTCTCCCTGGGTTTGGAGCTCGGAGCAGCATATGGAGCTGCCACAGATCTGCTGGTTGTACCCAGAGGACAACTCAGATAATGCTGGAAGAGGCACTGGCAGATGTTACCTGAGCCTTTAAGATCCTTTGCTGCCCGGTCCCCCTTCTCTAACCCCTTGAGCAAGTCCCTTCTGTGCTCTGCCCTGCACAGCAGCACTGGGAAGCTTCCAAATCCTCTCTCATCTCCTTTGTTGGAGCCCAGTGTGGTCAGCAAGCGGATGGACCAATGGGACAGTGTCTCATGAATGGAGAGGGTGCTGGTTTTTAGCTTCTTGTTCTTCGTTCTTTGCCTGGCTCTGCAAGGGAGGAACGAAAGGAGCTGGAGCCCAGCAGTAGGAACTGTAAATTTGGCAACCTGAGGAGCAGCTCGTTTCTTTCTCCTCAGCTTATGAATGGCCTCTTCTTTAAAGGTTGCAAATCTGAGCCTGGCTGATGTTTGATGAGATTCTTCTATTCCAAGGAGAAAATGATCCTATTTCCTTTGCTTTCACCATATTCCCACATCCTTGTGCCGAGCGTGTCGAGAGGTGGAGTTCCACTGGCAGGGAGAGGGAAGATACAATGTTAGATGTTTTGCTTTTGTGATTCTCTCAGGATTTATGAACAACCATTACAGAATGACTCATGTGGCCACATATTTTCCATGCCTCAACCAGGATCCTTTCCATGCTCTGTATGCAAAAAATTATCCATAATCAGGTTCAGATAGTGTGCAAATCACAGCCCTGCTTCCTATAGTCAGGTCTCTGGAGTGGAGCACAGAGAGGTTACTCATCACTGTATCCTTCATTTTTCAGATGCTGTGTGATCTTTAGTGACTGCCTTAGATGCAGAACAGCTTGCTTGAAACTTCCAGTGCCAGAGGTTTGTCATGGCTTGTTAACATCTCTTTAAGTCGTGTGATCCTTGCCCTGCGGGGTAACAATTTGGTTTTCAAGTAATTCATTGTGCAATAGATCATCTCCTGGGAGCTGGCTCTTTTTTATTCCACGGCTCTGAACCCAAAGGATGTAATGCTGTAATACAGGCTGGGGATTTGAAAGCTCAGAGGGAGGGTAGGAACACCACCTGGCCTGTCTCATTTATCTTTAAGGCTTGGAAGAGCAAACTTTGGTAGGGAAATGATGGGACTCTGTTCCAGCAGCTCCAGTGGGTTCCTGAGCTAAAGGCAGCAGGTGAGAGGACAGAAATCTCAGGGCAGGGAGTACCTGCCCCAGGCTGAGCTTGGGTTTGAGATGGAGACATGAGAGGCAACAGCTCTGACTTGACACCAGCAACACAAGACATTTCCACCCTCACATTTTCCATGGATGTGGAGCTGGCCCTGCCAGTCCCACCACCTGTGCAGCATCTGAGCCCTCAGAGCCACAGGGCACAGAAACACCCACTGACTGCTGGAATAGAAATGCTGGTCCCCTGGCCCAGGCTCCCCCATCCCAGAGATGTCTCTGCAGCCTCTGGCAAGTACAAGATGCCTTCACTCCCTGGACACTCTTCCTGACTTTTCTAGCACACCAGTTCCCCTCCTTCTTACTCTGTCAGGTCTCTGCCATCACCCTGAGACTCTCCATGGCTCCAGGGAATCTCCCTGCCTCTCTCTTCTGCTTGTCCCAGCTTTCCTGTTCCACTGTGATCCCACCCAATCTTTTCCCTTGGTTATTCCACACATTCTCCTCACCACTTGTCAGCTTTACACTGCTGTAAGTTTTGAGGAGACTAAGTTTTTTCAGAACTACTCTTCTGCTTGCTCACAGTTTTCACTTCACAGTGTACATATGAAGACATTTTTCCAGGATTATTTGAAGCTTATTAGCATCAGTGCAACCGACTGGATGTTCTGGAATTCCTTCTTGTGGTTCTTTCTCAGCAAGATAATGACACTGGAGTAGGAGCTGACACACCCACCATCATCATCCCTTGTCAACACCAGGTCTCAGATGAGTCTCTTTGGATTCATTCTTTAGCACAGGTCTGGTTTAGAATTGCTAGACTTTAATTTGGTCTTTAAATTGGTAGACCATACCCTTAGTTTCATTAAGGTTGAGTTAGTTCTAATCCAGAGGAATGGCTAAAGCTCAAGGAAAAACTCAACTCATGTTTTCACACACAGTTCTAGACTCTCTCACTGATTCACAGCCCCGACTCTCTTGTGCGTCACTGATATGGAAATGTTAAGAAAGTCCTGAAATATTAAATATTGAACTCAGGTACTCCCTTTAGCAATTCCGAAATCAATTGCAAAAACCATTTATTCTTATCCCATCCTGTAACCCTATTTTTAAGCTGTTTGTCAGTGCCAAATCTGTCCTTGCTGAGACCTCCAAATGCTCTTGGGTGATGTCACATCCGGCCATCCCTACCCTCAAGCACAGGGAATGTCCTCTTTGTGAGAAGGCCAAGATCTCTATGAGAACACTTGTGTAAAGTGGGCTATGTCCTCTGAGACCCCACCACCATCCTTTTAATCAAATTATTCTGTGCAATTTATGCATCAGAGGGTTGTTATCGGCAGAACAACAGTTTGTTTCCCTGTGAGGCTGCACAGAAAGCAGAGCTGCCTTTTGTTATGGCAACAGAAGTGTTGGGGATGATGTAAAGGAAACTCCTATCGGCTCTGGGTCACATAGGCTTAATTTGCAAAAATCTACTCATTCATTTGTTGTGCAGAGCTCACAGGGAACATAGTTAAACATCTAATTACCCAGGAATTTGGGGAGGTTGAGGGAAAGGCGGGTAGAGGGTTATTTTCACAGTTGCAGTTCTGTTGCCTTAACCTGTAGCAGATGTTCTTATGGGTTTCAGAACTGGGATCAGGCACTTTTTCTGACGGTTTGTAGTGATGAGTGTGTGAGTTCCTGGGGGCCAGGCCTGGGCCAGTTTTGTGACTCAGCTCTGTGACAAAGGTGTTGCTGTAAATAAACCAAGCTGCAAGATGCTGCTGTCTGGCAGGACACAAATAACCTGAGCGGGAAGGGACTCACAAGGATCATCCAGTCCAACCCCTGTCCCTGCCCAGGACACTCCAACAATCCCACCCTGTCCCTCAGAGCATTGTCCAAATGTTCCTTGAGCTCTGGCAGCCTTGGGGCCATGACCACTGCCCCGGAGAGCCTGTTCAGTGTCTGACCACCCTCTGGGAAAAAAACCTTTCCCCAATATCCGTCCCAAGCCCCCTGACACAGCTCCGTGCTGTTCCAATCTTTTCTTTTGAAACCTCTCTCTGCGTGGAGCAACTGTGCCACCCCATGGACTCCCCACTCCCCTTCAGCCATAGGTCTGGGTTCCAAGAGAGATTCTGACAGTACAGATGTGGGATCCTCTGTGGGAGCTCCACTGGAGGCTACTTGCAGGAAACATATTTCCCTTTCTCCTTAGCAAGTGCTCTGCTCACACCCTCACTGAACACTGGCTGCCCCGCTGGAAACAAGCTGACACACAGACACATCAGCACATCCTACACTCTGCTCGGGAATTGCTGGAAGAGAAGCTCATCCACCTTTTCAATTGCATTTTTCTACCATTTAAAATCCAGCTTCAGGTACAAGACAATCAATTCTAGGGATTGTCAGAAAGTTTAAATTAACAGGAAAGAAATTTAAACCAGCGAGAGCTGCAAACTTTTAAAATCATTATTTTATTTTACTTGAATGTGCAAATAAATATAAAAAAAACTACATTCAAGGAGCTGGCAGAGCAATTACAAGCCCAAAAGCAAAGATCCTTCAAACAAATGGAAGAACAAACTCTTGACTCAAGGTCGTGCAGATACACAGCGGTCGAGCTGAAACCCCCAGACACGAACAAGCCCCTCTCAAATCCCGCCTGTTATTCCCTTCCCATCCTTGCTACTCTCGGCTTTGAGACAATATCACTGCAAAGGGCAAAAGTCTTGCTTAAATTAAGGTTTACAAAATAAGGATGCTTAAAAATACCTGAAGTACACTTAAAATGGGGTGATGGATCAGGACAGTGCACAGGGGTGTTTCCCACCTCAGTGCACCTGGAATCAAATGCATTTTAAGCCACAAGTTTCAACCTATTTTCCAGTAAGTAGTTCTTCTGTATCATAAAACCATAAAATTTGGCACAGTTGTCATCTCCACTGGGAGTCAGCAGAGAGGTGAGGACTGAGG